AACCTGAACCTGGTCATAGAAAGACTGTCTCAACATTTTAGTGAAAGACATTCCAGTTTTAGCTGACAAATCTGAAACGAGGCATCCCCTTGTTTAGATCTAGAAACCCAGTAGGAGGCCAGTCTCTGTGCTCTTCAGAGTCAAGTAGGAGGCCCAGTCCCCTGTGCTCCTCAGAGTCCCAGTAGGGGGCCAGCCCTGTTCTTTTCAGAGTCCCAGTAAAGGCCAGTCTCTTGTGCTCTTCAGAGTCCCAGTAGGAGGCCAGTCCCTGTGCTCCTCAGAGTCCCAGTAGGGGGCCAGTCCCTGCTCTTCAAGTCCCATAGGAGGCCCAGTCTCTGTGCTCATCAGACCCGAGAGGAGGCCAGTCCCTGTTCTATCCAGAGACCAAGTAGGAGGTCAGTCCCTGTGCTTCGCAGAGACCCAGTAGGAGGCCAGTCCCTGTGTGCTTCTCAGAGACCCAGTTGGAGGCCAGTCCCCTGTGTCTTCTCATAGAACCCAGTAGGAAGGCCAGTCCCTGTTCCCCTTCAGAGGTCGAGCATGGTTCAATAATGAAACCTTCGGCTGGCATAGATGCAAAAGGCCAAGACTTTAATTCACAGTTTTGGATTTCAATTCAACTTACATTTTTGTGACAGCATTTGTTTCGTCGTCCAAGAATGTCTTTGTCTGAATATTTCTCACAAAACACTAACCATGATTGAGAAAGGAAGTTTATCCCCGCCATCTTTTAAACTTGTGGCGCCGTGTAAATCTGCAGAGACGTTCATATCAACCTCAAAAAGGTCACAATTCCCTGGAGCGAGTGAAGCGATAGCAGTGGAACAGGCTCTGTTAAACATGTCTCCGTTTCTCTCTCCCGGACTCGCGTGTTTGTTGTTATGGGGTATTCCTCCTCGGTCCTTAGAGACTGAGGTCCCTGACGCTTTCTAATCAGCATCGGTCAAACAAAACTCAGAACCGCGAAATGTCCCATTGTCGAATTCTGTACAATGTTATAATGTCCAAGAACCCTCCCCCGTCCCACAAGGCTGCAACATGAGCGAGGCTGTACCTGAGTGAGTGGTTTTAAAATGATCTGTTTATTCCGGTTTAGTCCTGGTTGGTCAAGTTTTGTTCCTGGGTTTAGTCCTGGTTTGGTCTTTGTTTAGTCCTGGTTTTTGTCCTGGTTATGTCCTGGTTTAGTCCCCCTAGTTTTAGTCCAGGTTTAGACTTCTTTAGTTCCAAGTTTGTTTCGTGGTTTAGTCCGTGTTTAGGGTCCAAGTTTGTCCTGGTTTGGTATTTGCATAGTCCTGGTTTGGGGGTCCTAGTTATTCCTAGGTTTGTCCTGGTTTTGTCCTGGATTGTTCTGGTTGTTGGGATCAAGTTTGTTCCTGGTTTAGGAGGCCTGGTTTGGTCCTAGTTTGGTCTGGTATAGTCCTCCGTTTGAATTTGGTTTAGGCCTAGTTATGTTCTGGTTTGAGGCTCTACTGCTGAAGAGGAGGCTCTACTGCTGAGGAGGCTCTACTGCTGAAGAGGAGGCTCTACTGCTGAAGAGGAGGCTCTACTGCTGAAGAGGAGGCTCTACTGCTGAGGAGGCTCTACTGCTGAAGAGGAGGCTCTACTGCTTACTTACTTATTCACCCTCGATGTTGTGGTCTGGACACAATATTTTACGTTTAAAGGACATGTATTCACAGCTAGGATATGTTTTTTAGGACGTAAACAGGACTGCATATGTTTTTAGTGACATGGGGAAACCGGAGCACCTGGAGGAAACCTTCACATGCAAACTTCCACAAGTCAAACCCAGGGTCCAAGGGGCTGCGTCGGAAACATTAAAAACAAGACAAAAGTTATGTACAGCAAACAATTTATTTTAATTTAATTTATTTTTTTACAAAACAAAATCAGAACAAGAATCACAAAAACGATCAGATTTTCTGTAAAATCACGATAAAAACCAAACAATCTCATTTCATTTTGCCGTCATTAAAACAGCTTCACTTAATCTCATCGCCCTGTTATAAATAAATACGTTTAACACCTGTACTTTCTGATGCGAGGTACAGAAGTAAACAATCCTGAAATATCATTTGAAAGAATTGGCTTTGAAGAAACTTTAAAATTGCTTCTTTAAAATCAAAACATTTAAATTCATTGACGATTCTTTAGTTTCTTCAATACGGCTTAATCCACAGACTACAAACTAAAGCTTATTCAAACAGAAGACTTCACAAATGTGCGCCACGTAAAAAAACACGACGCATTTGTTTAAACTACTCAAATACAAACAGTTCAAACAGTTCCATTAAAACAGCACCGTTAGAATTAAAGGGGACTCACTCATTGCTAATTGATATGTCTTTCTCCTATGTTCAGCTTTCTCCTAGTTTCTAAGTCCCTTGTGATGTCACATGTGGTAAATAACACACACTGGTCCCACATACTTCTCTGGCGTGTTGTGGATTTGTTCCTTAAAGCTCATTAGAACAACTTAAAGAAGACGTCTTGTGCTTTTATCCGAGTACGTTTACAAAGCATGACCATATAGACACGGCAAAACATGTGTATGGATATTAGGGGTCGCTGCCAAACCGGTCTGACCACTTTGTCCTGTGTCTACATCCACGGCGGCTGATCCGGTCGAGCCTTGGGAAGCTTCCAATCCCACATTCCAAACCTTGTATAATGCTGGTTTTGGAATAAACAAATGAATGAATGAATTTTTTTTTAAAGTTTTTGCTGCATGTGAATAAACCCAAAGTGGTCTGTGTGAGTCCAAATACATGCCTCTGCTGGCCCTGTCTCAGTACGATCTCCATGGAAACCAAAACCTAATAGAAATGGTCAGATCCAGGTTTTCCCAGTCCCGGTGTAACGCTGAGATACACTGCCTTGAAGAGATGCACAGCCTCAGCTGTTTATGATGTAATGCAAACCTGCGCATGCGCGTCTCACGGCAGCCGAAGCAAACCAAGATGGCGGACCGTGAATTGCTTTAAAAGTTGAAATACGAACGAATTCAGACACGAATGTCACTTTTAATGCAATTTGAGGCGAGATGTTGATGGTTCCGTTTTGTCACATGTGGGTTTTAAGAGTCAAAGTTTTGTGCAAAGTTTAGTTTAAGCAGTCAACTGCGCCTGTGAAACCACAAAGCTAATGTTTTCATAGCAGTCCGCGGCTGCTGACGTAGGCTGATGACGTAGGCTGATGACTCGTCCTGTGGCAACTCTACACTCTTACACTGGTCTGTCGGGTTGATAATGGAAATAATAAATTTCATTCAATGCATGTATCGTACTGTATTTAATATGATTAACAATAGTGTGTTCAAACAAAATATTTAATTAGATTGATTTTTTTCCCCATTTTCCATTATCAACCCGACAGACCAGTGTAAGAGTGTAGAGTTGCCACAGGACGAGTCATCAGCCTACGTCAGCAGCCTACGTCATCAGCCTACGTCAGCAGCCTACGTCAGCAGCCGCGGACTGCTATGAAAACATTAGCTTTGTGGTTTCACAGGCGCAGTTGACTGCTTAAACTAAACTTTGCACAAAACTTTGACTCTTAAAACCCACATGTGACAAAACGGAACCATCAACATCTCGCCTCAAATTGCATTAAAAGTGACATTCGTGTCTGAATTCGTTCGTATTTCAACTTTTAAAGCAATTCACGGTCCGCCATCTTGGTTTGCTTCGGTTGCCGTGAGACGCGCATGCGCAGGTTTGCATTACATCATAAACAGCTGAGGCAGTGCATCTCTTCAAGGCAGTGTATCTCAGCGTTACACCGGGTTTTCCCAGTCCCGGTTTTCCCAGCCCCGGTTTTCCCAGCCCCGGTTTTCCTGCTTTGTAAACGTACTTTTTTTTGGCTCATTCTTAAACATTTAGTGCATTTGAAATCTCCATATTGATGTGATGAAGTTATAACAGAGGCCTCTTTACGCTCAGATCAAGTTAGCGATCAGCGGATTTTTGGCCGAACTGCTATCAAAATCATTTGAGGAAAACTGATTCAAACAAAAACGACTGCTTTTCTGGTCTCATCCATTTTCCCCAAAGAAGTGCAGAAAAAACACACGGTCAGAAGTGTTCGAGGAACGACTGAGACCAAAAAAACACAATTTAAACTTAAATCTGGTGAAATATTAACACAGATCCTCAGGTTGTTATTTGCCTCCACTTCAATGATACTTCTTTGTGTATTTCTATAATAACAAAAGAAAAACATCTGAATTATTGCTAGAATTGTATAAATGAGATATTCAGGTCGACTTTCTGAATATTTTGGTTTTTTGTTAAAATCTTAAAAATATAAAACAGATTGAAATCCAGACAAAGCTCTAACTCTGGGAAAGGCGACCCTCTTTACCTTGGACTCGTTTCTTTTGGGATTCGTTAAAGTTAAAGCATTGTTTAGTCGTCACTTTTTTAAAACTCTCTTTGTCTTAAATGTTTTGTTAGAATTGTTTTTTCACCCAAAAGCGATTCGTCTAAAGACACTTAAACAGAAATCTAGAGCCGAAAGACGTGTCGTAATCTTTGGGTCGGACTTTTGTGTTCCATAAAATCTGAAATGTTTAAATCCAGGATAAAAACAACTGAAGGATTGAATCTCGACCGTTTTTAACAAACTCAGATTATTTAAGATTTGAAAGTCTGTGTCCGAAAAGGGGCTATATAAGTAAGATTATTATTATTATTATTATTATTATTAGCACTTGCCTTGCCTTAAAAATCACATTAGACTTTTAAATATGGCCACAGACACCATTTTGAAATATGAGGTTTATACAGCACAAAACAGGAAGTAGTAAAATCCGTGTTTGAGGTTTCGTCTCGTGCTGAAAGTAACGTCATTGGTTTTAAGGTTTCGTTTCGTTGTTTTAATTAAAGATTCTCTGATCCCCGTTTCCAGTGTGTCAGCCCTGGTTGTTTCTTGTGGTCTCGTTACGGTCTGGTTGCGGTCTCGTTACGGTCTCGTTACGGTCTCGTTACGGTCTCGTTACGGTCTCGTTACGGTCTCATCTGCGCGTAGAGGGAGTCGATGTGGTCCCTGAAGTGTCCGCGCAGCTCGTTCCTCTTGGCCTTCATGGTCGGAGTCAGGAGCCCGTTTTCCACCGAGAACTGCTCCGTGTGGACGTGGATCGCCTTCACCTGAGACACACACAATGTAGTTACACAGACACACACAATGTAGTTACACAGACACACACAATGTAGTTACACAGAGACACACACAATGTAGTTACACAGAGACACACACACACAATGTAGTTACACAGACACACACAATGTAGTTACACAGAGACACACACACACAATGTAGTTACACAGAGACACACACACAATGTAGTTACACAGAGACACACACACACAATGTAGTTACACAGAGACACACACACACACAATGTAGTTACACAGAGACACACACACACAATGTAGTTACACAGAGACACACACAATTTTACACAGAGACACACACAATGTAGTTACACAGAGACACACACACACAATGTAGTTACACAGAGACACACACACACAATGTAGTTACACAGAGACACACACACACAATGTAGTTACACAGAGACACACACACACAATGTAGTTACACAGAGACACACACACACAATGTAGTTACACAGAGACACACACACACAATGTAGTTACACAGAGACACACACACACAATGTAGTTACACAGAGACACACACACACAATGTAGTTACACAGAGACACACACACACACACACAATGTAGTTACACAGAGACACACACACACAATGTAGTTACACAGAGACACACACACACAATGTAGTTACACAGAGACACACACACACAATGTAGTTACACAGAGACACACACACAATGTAGTTACACAGAGACACACACACACATGTAGTTACACAGAGACACACACACACAATGTAGTTTACACAGAGACACACACACAAATGTAGTTACACAGAGACACACACACACAATGTAGTTACACAGAGACACACACACAATGTAGTTACACAACATGTAGTTACACAGAGACACACCACACAATGTAGTTACACAGAGACACACACACACAATGTAGTTACACAGAGACACACACACAATGTAGTTACACAGAGACACACACACACAATGTAGTTACACAGAGACACACACACACAATGTAGTTACACAGAGACACACACACACAATGTAGTTACACAGAGACACACACACAATGTAGTTACACAGAGACACACACACACAATGTAGTTACACAGAGACACACACACACATGTAGTTACACAGAGACACACACACACAATGTAGTTACACAGAGACACACACACACAATGTAGTTACACAACACACAACAATGTAGTACACACACACACACAATGTAGTTACACAGAGACACACACACACAATGTAGTTACACAGAGACACACACACACAATGTAGTTACACAGAGACACACACACACAATGTAGTTACACAGAGACACACACACCACAATGTAGTTACACAGAGACACACACACACAATGTAGTTACACAGAGACACACACACACAATGTAGTTACACAGAGACACACACACACAATGTAGTTACACAGAGACACACACACACAATGTAGTTACACAGAGACACACACACACAATGTAGTTACACAGAGACACACACACACAATGTAGTTACACAGAGACACACACACACAATGTAGTTACACAGAGACACACACACACAATGTAGTTACACAGAGACACACACACACAATGTAGTTACACAGACACACACACACAATGTAGTTACACAGAGACACACACAACAATGTAGTTACACAGAGACACACACACAATGTAGTTACACAGAGACACACACACACATGTAGTTACACAGAGACACACACACACAATGTAGTTACACAGAGACACACACACACAATGTAGTTACACAGAGACACACACACAATGTAGTTACACAGAGACACACACACACACATGTAGTTACACAGAGACACACACACACAATGTAGTTACACAGAGACACACACACACAATGTAGTTACACAGAGACACACACACACATGTAGTTACACAGAGACACACACACACAATGTAGTTACACAGAGACACACACACAATGTATGTAGTTACACAGAGACACACACACAAATGTAGTTACACAAGACACACACACACAATGTAGTTACACAGAGACACACACACACATGTAGTTACACAGAGACACACACACACAATGTAGTTACACAGAGACACACACACACAATGTAGTTACACAGAGACACACACACACAATGTAGTTACACAGAGACACACACACACAATGTAGTTACACAGAGACACACACACACAATGTAGTTACACAGAGACACACACACACAATGTAGTTACACAGAGACACACACACACAATGTAGTTACACAGAGACACACACACACACAATGTAGTTACACAGAGACACACACACACAATGTAGTTACACAGAGACACACACAATGTAGACACACACACACACAATGTAGTTACACAGAGACACACACACACAATGTAGTTACACAGAGACACACACACACAATGTAGTTACACAGAGACACACACACACAATGTAGTTACACAGAGACACACACACACAATGTAGTTACACAGAGACACACACACACAATGTAGTTACACAGAGACACACACACACAATGTAGTTACACAGAGACACACACACACACGACACAATGTAGTTACACAGAGACACACACACACAATGTAGTTACACAGAGACACACACACACAATGTAGTTACACAGAGACACACACACACAATGTAGTTACACAGAGAACACACACACAATGTAGTTACACAGAGACACACACACACAATGTAGTTACACAGAGACACACACACACAATGTAGTTACACAGAGACACACACACACAATGTAGTTACACAGAGACACACACACAATGTAGTTACACAGAGACACACACACAATGTAGTTACACAGAGACACACACACACAATGTAGTTACACAGAGACACACACACACAATGTAGTTACACAGAGACACACACACACAATGTAGTTACACAGAGACACACACACACAATGTAGTTACACAGAGACACACACACACAATGTAGTTACACAGAGACACACACACAATGTAGTTACACAGAGACACACACACACAATGTAGTTACACAGAGACACACACACACAATGTAGTTACACAGAGACACACACACACAATGTAGTTACACAGAGACACACACACACAATGTAGTTACACAGAGACACACACACACACATGTAGTTACACAGAGACACACACACACAATGTAGTTACACAGAGACACACACACACAATGTAGTTACACAGAGACACACACACACAATGTAGTTACACAGAGACACACACACACAATGTAGTTACACAGAGACACACACACACAATGTAGTTACACAGAGACACACACACACAATGTAGTTACACAGAGACACACACACACAATGTAGTTACACAGAGACACACACACACAATGTAGTTACACAGAGACACACACACACACAATGTAGTTACACAGAGACACACACACACACACAATGTAGTTACACAGAGACACACACACACAATGTAGTTACACAGAGACACACACACACAATGTAGTTACACAGAGACACACACACACAATGTAGTTACACAGAGACACACACACACAATGTAGTTACACAGAGACACACACACACAATGTAGTTACACAGAGACACACACACACAATGTAGTTACACAAGAGACACACACACACAATGTAGTTACACAGAGACACACACACACAATGTAGTTACACAGAGACACACACACAATGTAGTTACACAAGTAGTTACACAGAGACACACACACACAATGTAGTTACACAGAGACACACACACACATGTAGTTACACAGAGACACACACACACAATGTAGTTACACAGAGACACACACACACAATGTAGTTACACAGAGACACACACACACAATGTAGTTACACAGAGACACACACAAATGTAGTTACACAGAGACACACACACACAATGTAGTTACACAGAGACACACACACAATGTAGTTACACAGAGACACACACACACAATGTAGTTACACAGAGACACACACACACAATGTAGTTACACAGAGACACACACACACAATGTAGTTACACAGAGACACACACACACAATGTAGTTACACAGAGACACACACACACAATGTAGTTACACAGAGACACACACACACAATGTAGTTACACAGAGACACACACACACACAATGTAGTTACACAGAGACACACACACACAATGTAGTTACACAGAGAGACACACACACACAATGTAGTTACACAGAGACACACACACAAATGTAGTTACACAGAGACACACACACACAATGTAGTTACACAGAGACACACACACACAATGTAGTTACACAGAGACACACACACAAATGTAGTTACACAGAGACACACACACACACAGATGTAGTAGTACACAGAGACACACACACACAATGTAGTTACACAGAGACACACACACACACAATGTAGTTACACAGAGAGACACACACACACAATGTAGTTACACAGACACACACAATGTAGTTACACAGAGACACACACACAATGTAGTTACACAGAGACACACACACACAATGTAGTTACACAGAGACACACACACACAATGTAGTTACACAGAGACACACACACACAATGTAGTTACACAGAGACACACACACACAATGTAGTTACACAGACACACACAATGTAGTTACACAGAGACACACACACAATGTAGTTACACAGAGAGACACACACACACAATGTAGTTACACAGAGACACACACACACAATGTAGTTACACAGAGACACACACACACAATGTAGTTACACAGAGACACACACACACAATGTAGTTAGAGACACACACAATGTAGTTACACAGAGACACACACACACAATGTAGTTACACAGAGACACGCACACACAATGTAGTTACACAGAGACACACACACACAATGTAGTTACACAGAGACACACACACACAATGTAGTTACACAGAGACACACACACACAATGTAGTTACAGAGGCACACACAATGTAGTTACACAGAGACACACACACAATGTAGTTACACAGAGACACACACACAATGTAGTTACACAGAGACACACACACACAATGTAGTTACACAGAGACACACACACACAATGTAGTTACAGAGACACACAATGTAGTTACACAGAGACACACACACACAATGTAGTTACACAGAGACACACACACACAATGTAGTTACACAGAGACACACACACACAATGTAGTTACAGAGACACACACAATGTAGTTACACAGAGACACACACACACAATGTAGTTACACAGAGACACGCACACACAATGTAGTTACACAGAGACACACACACACAATGTAGTTACACAGAGACACACACACACAATGTAGTTACACAGAGACACACACACACAATGTAGTTACAGAGGCACACACAATGTAGTTACACAGAGACACACACACAATGTAGTTACACAGAGACACACACACAATGTAGTTACACAGAGACACACACACACACAATGTAGTTACACAGAGACACACACACACAATGTAGTTACAGAGACACACACAATGTAGTTACACAGAGACACACACACACAATGTAGTTACACAGAGACACACACACACAATGTAGTTACACAGAGACACACACACACAATGTAGTTACAGAGACACACAATGTAGTTACACAGAGACACACACACACAATGTAGTTACAGAGAGACACATTCTCATTACTGACATCACAGAGCAGACATCACAGAGCAGACATCACAGAGCAGACATCACAGAGCAGACATCACAGAGCAGACATCACAGAGCAGACATCACAGAGCAGACATCAGAGCAGACATCACAGAGCAGACGTCACAGAGCAGACATCAGAGCAGACATCACAGAGCAGACATCACAGAGCAGACATCAGAGCAGACATCACAGAGCAGACATCAGAGCAGACATCACAGAGCAGACATCAGAGCAGACATCACAGAGCAGACGTCACAGATGCTGCCATCCACAAAAATGTGGATGGCAGCAAACTTTTTGCATTTCAATGAAAAAAAGAGTGAAGTTCTGCTGGCTCAGCAATGGCAGTAGCTCCGTGGACCGTTGATAAATAAGTGCAGTAGTGAAGTCTAGTTTCTTTAAAGACCTCATGACGGGTTTAAAAAAAAAAAATAGTGGATATCAAAATTGCATGACAATGTCAATCTGAAAGAGATTCCGGCAAAAAAAATCCTATATTTTATAAAAAGAACGTGTTTTTCATGAATTTAAGCTGTCTATGCTCTAACCTGTGTGTGACGTCACAGCGGGTAACGCCCATGCATTGAAAACCATGGATCTATGCCACAGGACTGCCTTTTCTCTCTTCTCTCCACTGATGCCCAACACAATACTGCCCTCTACAGGTGACAATTGCTCACTACACATGAATTGCCGTTTTGAGAGTGAAAAAGTGTCTGAGGTGGGAATTGAACCCCAGTATCTGGATTGACAGTCCATCGACACAACCACTGGACTATCTCAGTGACAATGAACAATTATAATCTAGTACTAATGTCAGACTCTCTGTACACGGCCTTGTCATCTTGAATATCCGCGAAAAAAGAACAAATACCAAATTGTAAACAACTTACAGCGTTGAAACGTACCCACTCTGACGTCACCAAGGGCTGTGAAGTTTTTTCGTCTCTAAGGGCGTTGCTATGGGGTTATTTCGATTTGGGGGGATCAGACAAAAAAAACAACAACTGATTTTGAAACCTTTAGTAGTTCTCTTCTAATATAAAATGGTATTAAAACTGTATTTCTAAATAAATCAAACCCGTCATAAGGTCTTTAAGGCAACTTGCTAAAATAAAGTCCTCCCTTTCAAGACAGAATTTTGAAATTTTAATTCACGCTTTTGTTACAACTCGGCTGGACTATTGTAACGCCTTGTACACAGGGATCAGCCAGTCCTCACTCGCTTGTCTTCAGCTGGTACAGAACGCTGCGGCGCGTCTGTTAACAGGAACTCAGAAGTTTGACCATATCTCTCCTGTCATCACTTCATTGGCTTCCTGTTCCCTACCGGATTGATTTTAAAGTCCTTCTGTTTGTCTATAAATGCCTGAATGGCCTTGCTCCGTGCTATCTGTCTGACCTACTGACGTCCTGTGCTCCATCACGTTCTCAGGTCGGCAGATCAGGCTCTGCTCTGGGTTCCTCCGACTAAACGGAAACTCAGAAGAGATCGAGCTTTTTCGGTTGTTGGTCCTAAACTTTGGAATGAGCTGCCCCTGTGTGTGAGACTGTCTGAGCCACTTCCTGTTTTTAAGTCTCGTCTTAAGACACACTTGTTCTCATTGGCTTTTAATTGATTTCAATTGATTTTTTGCTGTAAATAGTGTTTTTTTTTTTTGCCACTGTTTTTTATTTTTTAAATGTATATTTGTGTTTGTCTTTTTATGTACAGCACTTTGGTCAACCATGTTGTTTTTATTAGTGCTTTATAAATAAACTGGATTGGATTGGACAGAGCAGACATCACAGAGCAGACATCACAGAGCAGACGTCAGAGCAGACATCACAGAGCAGACGTCACAGAGCAGACATCACAGAGCAGACGTCACAGAGCAGACATGACAGAGCAGACATGACAGAGCAGACGTCACAGAGCAGACGTCACAGAGCAGACATCACAGAGCAGACATCACTGACATCACAGAGCAGACATCACAGAGCAGACGTCAGAGCAGACATCACAGAGCAGACATCACAGAGCAGACGTCAGAGCAGACGTCAGAGCAGACGTCACAGAGCAGACGTCAGAGCAGACATCACAGAGCAGACGTCAGAGCAGACATCACAGAGCAGACGTCAGAGCAGACGTCAGAGCAGACATCACAGAGCAGACGTCACAGAGCAGACATCACTGACATCACAGAGCAGACATCACTGACATCACAGAGCAGACATCACTGACGTCACAGAGCAGACATCACTGACGTCACAGAGCAGACATCACTGACGTCACAGAGCAGACATCACTGACATCACAGAGCAGACATCACTGGCATCACAGAGCAGACATCAGAGCAGACATCACAGAGCAGACATCACTGACATCACAGAGCAGACATCACAGAGCAGACATCACTGACATCACAGAGCAGACATCACAGAGCAGACGTCAGAGCAGACATCACAGAGCAGACGTCACAGAGCAGACGTCAGAGCAGACATCACAGAACAGACGTCAGAGCAGACGTCACAGAGCAGACATCACTGACATCACAGAGCAGACGTCACAGAGCAGACATCACTGACATTACAGAGCAGACGTCACAGAGCAGACGTCACAGAGCAGACGTCGCAGAGCAGACATCACAGAGCAGACATCACAGAGAAGACATCACAGAGCAGACGTCACAGAGCAGGCATCACTGACATCACAGAGCAGACGTCACAGAGCAGACATCACAGAGCAGACATCACAGAGCAGACATCACAGAGAAGACATCACAGAGCAGACGTCACAGAGCAGGCATCACTGACATCACAGAGCAGACGTCACAGAGCAGACGTCACAGAGCAGACATCACTGACATCACAGAGCAGACATCAGAGAGCAGACATCACTGACATCACAGAGCAGACATCACAGAGCAGACGTCACAGAGCAGACATTAGAGCAGACATTAGAGCAGACATTAGAGCAGACGTCACAGAGCAGACGTCACAGAGCAGACATCACAGAGCAGACATCACAGAGCAGACATCACTGACATCACAGAGCAGACGTCAGAGCAGACATTAGAGCAGACGTCACAGAGCAGACGTCACAGAGCAGACGTCACAGAGCAGACATGAGGAACAGAAACCTCAGATGGAATTTGGGGCTAAGTATAAGTTGAATTTGTTTGTGTAAGCCCTCAGTCGTACAGGGATTAGTCAAAGCAAAGGAAGGTTTCTCACCCATCATCTGTACTTCTTAGCAAGTTTTCCCGACGTTTCGTCCTCAACCTGGGGACTTCTTCAGGGAATGAATTCTCGGACCGCGCGTTGGAGATTTATAACCTATGGGTGTGGTAAGCCACACCCTAATCCTGATACTAACTCGTAAACAATCTACGGTCTGCTTGATGTAGAAAGGGAGCAGGTCTAACGACCCTGCTGAGGCTAACGACCCTAACTCATTAGCATGTCACAGACCTATTGTCTGCTGGGATGCTCAAGTGGAGTGCAGGTCTCACCCCTCCTAACTCATTAGCATGTCACTGACCTTGTCCCAAGTTAGGGCGTTGTTTTTAGGATGTCGTCATAGATGCGAGGCAAAACAAATCTTAACCCTCCTCCTCTGTTAAGAGAAGGTTTTTGTTTCCTCACAAAAATGGCTTCTTTCACCCCTCTCTCAAACCAATTCTTCTCCCGAGCCAGAATTTTAACCTCTGTGTCATCCACCGTGTGGTTGGAGGCCTTGAGGTGGAGATGAACAGCCGACTGTGGCCCACTAGAGTTTTCTCTACGATGTTGGTAAAGTCGTTTCTGTAGAGTTTGTTTGGTTTCTCCAATATAGTGGTCAGTGCACTCCTCTTCACTACATTTAATTGAATACACCACATTGCTCTGTTTGTGTCTGGGTGTTTTGTCTTTGGGATGCACTAATTTCTGTCTTAACGTGTTGAAAGGTTTGAAATACACAGGGATTTTGTGTTGCCTAAAGATTCTTTGTAGTTTCTCTGAAACTCCCGCCACATACGGTAAGGACACCCCTCTCCTCCTACTTTCTTCTGTCTGTAGGACTGTGTCTCTGGCCTTTCTCGTCCTTTGGGCTTTAGTAAAAGACCACTTGGGGTAGCCACATCTGGAAAGTGCTCTCTGAACATGTTTGGTTTCTCTGTTCTTTCCCTCCGAGCTTGTGGGGACCTGGTGGGCTCGGTGTTGAAGCGTTCTAATGACCCCGAGTTTATGTTGTAGCGGATGATTTGAATCAAAGGCCAGGTACTGGTCAGTGTGAGTGGACTTTCTGAAGACCTCAGTCTCTAATTGTCCGTTCTCCAGTATGATGACCTTACAATCTAGAAAGGCGAGTTCACTCTCCTTAGCATCCTCGCGAGTGAAATTTATAAAAGGGTCCACCGAGTTAATGTGTGCTGAAAATGGTTCCACTTCCTGTTTCTTTAACTTAACCCATGTATCGTCTACATATCGAAACCAATGGCTTGGCGCTGTCCCTTGGTAAGAGCCCAGGGCTTGTTCCTCCAGTTTCTCCATATACAGATTGGCCACTATCGGAGAGACTGGGGAGCCCATCGCACAGCCATGAATCTGTCTAAAGAAGGTGCCTCTAAATTGGAAATACGTGGTGTTAAGACACATTTCAAGTATTTCACAGATGTGGTCAGCTGTTAGTTTCGTTCTCTCCCCTAGTGTGGCGTCTTTCTGTAGGCTTTCTCTTACAGCCTCCACCGCCTCTGTAATAGGGACCGACGTAAAAAGCGATGTCACATCAAACGAGACCATTGTCTCATCTGTGTCAAACTGGAGGTGTTTGATTTTATTTACAAATTCTTTTGTGTTTTCTATGTGATGGTGGGTGTTACCCACCAAAGGAGCCAGAATGGTTTTGAGGTGTTTAGCCAGGTTGTAGGTGATAGAGTCTATGCTACATACAATAGGCCGAAGTGGAAAGTTTTGTTTGTGTATTTTTGGGAGGCCATAAATACTGGGGATGGTGTCTCCTGGGTAAAGTTTGTAATATAGTGGTTTTTCAATAATGCCCTCTTTCATTAAGTTCTGAAGGAAGTCTATAATCTTTTTCCTAAACCCACTGGTAGGGTCCCTCTTCAATGGCTGGTACGTGTTGGTGTCCAAGAGTAACTGATTAACTTTGGCCTCATAGTCTGAGCTGTTGAGGATAACTGTGCATCTGCCTTTGTCAGCTGGTAAAATAGTTATACTCTCATCCTTTTGTAATGCCAATAATGCTTTTTGCTCATCTAATGAGACATTGGATTGTGGGGGCTTCGCACTTTTGAGTGTGGCAGAGACTCTCAGTCTGAGGGGCCCCTGCCTCACTCTCCGTTAGTTTGTTGTTTCTAATGGCTGCTTCTGCTGCTGTGATGTATTCAATTGTAGGAATATCTTTTGGGGTTATTGCAAAATTTAGGCCTTTGGTAAGAACATCTTTTTCCGCTTGTGATAAATGCCGATCAGACAGATTTTTGACCCAATTCTCCCTGTCCAAACCTTGTCCAATTTCACTTTTAGAATGTTGAAAAGAATTATGGTTTTGGAGTTTTAGAAATTTGCCTATCTGACGTTCTTTGGCCTTCTTGTGATGGTTCAGTTGGGCAGTTTCCGTAAACGTCCAAATCCTCTGAAAAAACTCTGGTGAGACTGCCAATTCCAGTTTGTGCTTAAGGCCCTCTATCTCGTCCTTTAGGTTTATAATCTCTATGTTAAGTCGTCGAATTCTTAAATTGAGAATCTTCATACAGTAGTTTTGTTGTATTTTCCTTGCCAACTGGCCTGTTTCTAATGCTTTTTGCTTTAAACATTTTGGGATAAGTTTACTCTGGCTACACCTAAGATTAAACCTAAGATGATTTCTGGCGTCTGCTAGTTTTCTTTTGATTTTCTCCAACCCGCGTGCCAAGACCAGGGCGTCTCTCCCAAAGTTGGCAACGATAAGTTTGTGTAAGCCCTCAGTCGTACAGGGATTAGTCAAAGCAAAGGAAGGTTTCTCACCCATCATCTGTACTTCTTAGCAAGTTTTCCCGACGTTTCGTCCTCAACCTGGGGACTTCTTCAGGGAATGAAGAAGTCCCCCTCAACCTGGGGACTTCTTCCCTGAAGAAGTCCCCAGGTTGAGGACGAAACGTCGGGAAAACTTGCTAAGAAGTACAGATGATGGGTGAGAAACCTTCCTTTGCTTTGACTAATCCCTGTACGACTGAGGGCTTACACAAACTTATCGTTGCCAACTTTGAAAAATCTGTCTGATCGGCATTTATCACAAGCGGAAAAAGATGTTCTTACCAAAGGCCTAAATTTTGCAATAACCCCAAAAGATATTCCTACAATTGAATACATCACAGCAGCAGAAGCAGCCATTAGAAACAACAAACTAACGGAGAGTGAGGCAGGGGCCCTCAGACTGAGAGTCTCTGCCACACTCAAAAGTGCGAAGCCCCCACAATCCAATGTCTCATTAGATGAGCAAAAAGCATTATTGGCATTACAAAAGGATGAGAGTATAACTATTTTACCAGCTGACAAAGGCAGATGCACAGTTATCCTCAACAGCTCAGACTATGAGGCCAAAGTTAATCAGTTACTCTTGGACACCAACACGTACCAGCCATTGAAGAGGGACCCTACCAGTGGGTTTAGGAAAAAGATTAGAGACTTCCTTCAGAACTTAATGAAAGAGGGCATTATTGAAAAACCACTATATTACAAACTTTACCCAGGAGACACCATCCCCAGTATTTATGGCCTCCCAAAAATACACAAACAAAACTTTCCACTTCGGCCTATTGTATGTAGCATAGACTCTATCACCTACAACCTGGCTAAACACCTCAAAACCATTCTGGCTCCTTTGGTGGGTAACACCCACCATCACATAGAAAACACAAAAGAATTTGTAAATAAAATCAAACACCTCCAGTTTGACACAGATGAGACAATGGTCTCGTTTGATGTGACATCGCTTTTTACGTCGGTCCCTATTACAGAGGCGGTGGAGGCTGTAAGAGAAAGCCTACAGAAAGACGCCACACTAGGGGAGAGAACGAAACTAACAGCTGACCACATCTGTGAAATACTTGAAATGTGTCTTAACACCACGTATTTCCAATTTAGAGGCACCTTCTTTAGACAGATTCATGGCTGTGCGATGGGCTCCCCAGTCTCTCCGATAGTGGCCAATCTGTATATGGAGAAACTGGAGGAACAAGCCCTGGGCTCTTACCAAGGGACAGCGCCAAGCCATTGGTTTCGATATGTAGACGATACATGGGTTAAAGGCACACCGCGGACTTTGTGACCTAAAGAGTTGACACATATGAGTTATTTTATATGAATACTTGGGCCAATATACAGCGCTTGACACTTGCAATGCTCCGAGCGGGGCTGCCCTCTTGAAATACCGCCCATGTAACTTTCGAGCAGACGGACCGTCTGCCACCAGGTCACGTGACTTGGAAGAAACACTTGCTTTACGGCTACAGGCGCTGATATACTCATGGAGCTAAGGCTTTTGCTACTCATTTTTCACCTGCTCGACTCCTGGTCATGGCTGAGGCAAGGAAAAATTTTAAACCTTCGGAGGAGGCTAAAAAGAGGAAACGCGAAAGGGATCGTGCTGTAAGCTGCATGTCTGTATGAGCGCTGCTGTTCACCTGGTTCCTGGATGTCATCGACTGCAAAGATGTCATTCCACGCAGCACGAGCTAGACGCAGAACTCCCTCATCCAGGATATAGAA